TCATAGTTGAGAAATCGAAAATGAAATCTATGGATCTGATGCAAGAATTTGATGGCGGAGAAGACTCAATTAAGAGCTGAAAGGAGAAAACATGTAAGCAACCTTGAACGGATGTGAAAATGTGAATTTATGTTCGTAGAGCAAACGATGAAAAAGTTCAACTATTTGACGTTCTTAAGAAAATAAAGTGCTGGGAATCTTTGTATTCGTGATACGATTTTAGCAGTATAATGATCCTGAGCACAAGTCGCAGGTTGTTCAACGTAGGCTGCTGTACAATTGCCCAATTCACCGCCCCCCCCCTCAGACCTTACTGTTAGAGAACATCTTCGGGAAAAATGAGAAAAGAAGATAAGAAAATATCCAAATCATTCCAAACAAGAATTAAAGATATGAATACAACATAAATAGAGAAAATATTATCTTTCTTATACCCAAAATTTTGGTACAAAGTGTACCAATTATACTGTAGAAAGTGCTGCAGTGAAAGGGGATAATTACAATACATTGAACTCTCTTACTATATGTACTGTGAGATATTTTTTACGTGTTTTTCAGTTTGAACGATATGTACTGTGCATATTTGTTTATATTTCTATTCAAGTGCTCGAATACTTTTGTGAGTTGCTTTCAGCACAGAAAATGCACAAATTTTTACATATACATTACATATCGGTTGATTATAAATCTTTCCTAAATACCTTATTACTGCGTATGCAAGTAATATAATAGACTTTATTATATTTATTTTCTTCATTTGATATTCCTAATCCATGATTGTTCTGCTAAATTTCGCGTGTCCGAATAGTTTTGTGAGTCAGTGTACCACGCTGAGGCGTCAACGTATGCAGCGCCGCAGGTGTCCCCCCTTCAACCCGTTTCCTTTTCGGCGAACTGAGGAAGCTCGGAACCACCTTAGATGACCCTAAGCGCTCACGCCTTCAGACTCAGTAGGGAGTTTGTGACAGCCTTAGCGTCAGAAATATCGATCTTCTGCGCATGCACAGATAGTGCGAAAGTTGAACTGCGCATGAACAGAAGATCGATAGTGCTTTAACGTTCGAGGTGGCACAAACTCCCTAGTTTCTCGCGGGGACGTGAAGTTAGTATATATATCAGTGCTATTATCGAATTCATTTTTTCTCCGCGCCAAAATTACAAGGTATATTAAATCAGTTTTCAAACATCGATGGTTTTTGAACAAACAAGGTGGAACGTCAAACCCAAGAACAAAATTATTTATATAGCCAAATATTGATGAAAGAAAAAGCTTGGTAGACAATGCTAGAAATTTATCCGGGCTTATGATGCGTTATTATGTAAGGTAAATGATTATTTCCATTGATTAGTCGTACATTTTCTACGATAAGGTCAGAAAAACATAATATACTTAGGGAACGTTTGTTCAGTAGTTAGTTATTTCATTTATTTTTTGGAATATTAGGAGAGCAAAATTAAATCTTATTTCAAAATTTCATTTCTTCTTTTATATATGAAATGAGAAAATAAAAAATATTACATTGGCCACTGTATTTTTTCAGTAGTGAGAGAGAGGATTGCGAAGGATTTAAAATATATCATCACTTTTATAATGACTAGTCAATCTATGTATTTTCACAGGTCACTTCACTCAATTGATCTGGAAAGACACGAAAAAGATTGGCATAGCTAAAGCGCAAAAAGGCGGGCGCCTAGTAGTAGTTGCCAATTACGATCCCCCGGGGAACGTGATAGGCCAGTTCACAACGAACTGCCCGCAGAAGGGCAGTGGAGTTCCGATGATGATGAAGCAAAAGGGCAAATGACCGACAACGAAAAGCCACGTGCCTCGATGCCACAACGGATGAATCTCAGACTCGATCTACAAATCTCCGAGGCAACACTACGTGCAAGATATCAATGTCATAGTTCAATGATCATAGCTTTCAGCAGAATATACTCTTACTCTTGTATATTAAGCATTGTATAATATTTTTATTTTTCAATTTTAGCCAATTAGATTTGTTTGAAAGTTTGCGGATGAATGTTTCTCATCACATGATACGCACTGACTCTTCGGTTGTGCAAGGATCATTCCGCCTGCCTACCCATGAAACCATTTCTATCCGTCAAGTCACAACTCACTAGGAACATGTTCAACACCACAATATTGTCATGCAAAGTAAACAAGATGCAAGCGAAATTCTCAAATTTATAATATACTTTCATAAATAAACTATCCGCGTACCTGCGACTGATTCGTAACAGCTATCAGTCATATGAACACTTAATAATAATAATAATAATAATAATAATAATAATAAAGTAGTTTTAACAGCACATACTTTCTCGTATTATTTGTAACAGCTGCGTAATATTCTACTATAACATAAAGCAGTAAAAGTGTTTCCTGACAGTGAATTTTTTCCCCCTAGATTGGATTCGAATTCAGGATCTTCAGCAGGCCATACACGTTACCCATAGACTATCAACCTCACAACTAAGCGCAACCATTCTTCAAAAAAGTTGAAGATTTGCATTAGCAATTTTCAAAAATTCATAATTTTCACTTACATTATTGCAATATGTTTTAAAGAACAGGTTTCTTGTATGGAAAAAATCTTTATCATCAATATTGTATTTTTGCGATCTTAATTTTCGAAAATACAGGCTGCCGCAAATGGAAGCATTTTTAAGCGTCACTTTTTCTAGTCGAAGAACAGAAATTGGAGCCTTTTTAAGAAAACAGTTATTTAAAAATTGCCTATATTTTATGGCAAATTACATGGAAAGTATTCATATTTTTCAAAAATTGCTAGTACCTGTAAGAAAACGCCGATTTTTTCCTTCTTCGAAATTAAAAAATTCACAAATTAAACGAAAGTGCTACCTCCTCCATATTTTAAGCGTTCTTTTCGTACGTTGAAGTTGCAGCAATGTGCAGCAAGGGAACGTTCTTTTCGGAGATCAAAAGATCCTTTACAACGTTGCCCCAACGGCTATCCGAATAATTTTGTTGAAGCGAAGTCTCTCTATCGGCGATTCATTTTTCTTTTAATCAAATACATATTTTTTAAAGTATTTATAATGTATGTGTGTATAAGAACGTTCTATTCTGTCAAATTTGTGCACAAACTAATTATATATCAAAGCGAACTTTGATTGTGGTTGTTACCTCGATATTACTTTGCTCTGCGAACAAATGATTGCGAGAAAGCATGTTTCTCTTAGCAATATTTGTTACGCTTACGTAATATGCATTTATACCGCAACGTAATATAGATATGTTTTCGCACCTTATGTTCTGTTACAGCCTCCCCAGCGCCACTCAAGTTACTTTTACAGACCGACACAGCCTCAAACGAATGCTGGGAAATTCGAATTTACTATTTTAAATTTTTCCAATCCACGCAAAAAATACTCATATTTCGGAAACATTGAGCATGACCTTATTTGAAGATATGTTTTTGATAAACACAAATTATGTAAAAATCATCTTACAAATAACTTTATAAAGGCACTGAAAAAAATTGATTTTTTGCAATTTTCAAAAAATTAGAGATTTTAACGAGCATGTTGAATAAAGAATTTGGGTGTCACTTTTTGAAAATTTTGAAAATGACCCAGAAACTTCAAGTAAAATACCCCCCAAATTAAAATATCATTATCAAATTCGGTTCGCGACATCAGCTAGAACTTTTAGGGAATACCAATCGTGAACAAAATCGTCAGAATGGTTTAGCAGCTAGCGTTGTTCACAGACGGACGGACGTTTTTGTCTTTAATCTATTTTTCGTTGTCAAGGACCGACAAAACATTGATTCTGGCTGCACCACGTGATATATTTTTTTCTTAATTTGGCAACTGAATTTATTTCTTTATCGTTACAAGGGCCCGGTAATAAGAGTTTTTCAGCCGAAAATTCGCCGTTTTTTCTTGCAGCATTACATAATTTTCTCTCTATTGCGTAAGCAGTAGTGAGAAAGTAAAATATGTCTACACTAGAACTGCACACTAGGATCTACTGAACCCCAACATTTCAAATTCACGCAGAGTGAAAATTTCTGACGATAGCCGCATAACTCTTTACGAAAATTTGAATTATACCGTTAACTAGCCCTCATACTACTGAGTCTCAGGTGCTAACATTTCGTCGGAATAGAAGCTACTTCATCAGTGGTGCAACTAGAGTCTACAGGAACTCAGTGTATAATTTCTGCACACAAATAATAATATAGAAATTTGTATTGTATTCTTCGTATAATGCTTATGCGTTGTGACAATAGGAATTTAAAACTCCTCTGCATTGGTGTTTGACGTAATTTCAAAGCGTATTGGTAATCATTCTGTAAAAATCTGAAGAATGGATCTACGTTAAAAATACAATAAATTGTACTTTTTAAATTCCATTTATTCCTTGTTTCCATGCATTCCTAAAAGAAAAAATACGATTACACACTTTAGAATCTTACACAATTTTTCTGAATCTTTTGTATCAATAAAAATCTTTGGAATCCATGAGACCCCAGTGTACAGTTTATGTAACAAAAAATGTATGCAGTTACAGGGGCAGTCTGAACAGAGTAGATCGGGAGTAGAAAGAAGTGGATTGGCATGTTCTAAGGAAGTCATAATACGAATAGCGATGACGGTATTGGCTTCTCATTCTTCGATAACCATACTATGTATTTACGTAGATTAATGAGTACTTACACTAATCACAAAAGATCTGACGGCAAATTTTGTATACGATGGCCGCAGGCCAAGAATAAAATACGATCTTGTACGAAGAAAAAGTGAACGAAAACGGTTGAAGGATTACTGATTGATGCGTAGACATACCCACGATATGGTTGCTGCATTCTAATCTAATTAAGAATCTTTTTTGATAAGACGCTTAAAACCATACTGCTGTGAAAACGAGTCCAGTTTGTACATATACATTGTGGTCTATGGCAACGATCGAATCCTGTTTACAAAATTACTAACGTGCTGTATGATATTCATAATGTACTACTTTCCATTCACGTAGGCTTTGATCGTAGGTACCAGTGAGTGCTGAAATCCATAAATTACAAAATATATCTTCAATATATTTCTTATAAACCTTATTGCACAAATATTGAGCATGTATATACAAAGGATAAACAAACTTTCTACATAAACGACTGTTTCACAACATAGATAACGGACAAACAACATACAATAATGAATAGTACAAAATGTCGTTTTTCTTAATCAGACGTACATATGGTACAGTAAGATGTAATAAATAAACTCTCTATTACAGAAATACAGTAGAAGAGAGACGTCATGGAATTTCAGTGATAACACATCGCACACCGTACAAAGCCAATTAAAATTAAAAAATATAGAAGAATAGCCTATTGAGACAGTTTGAACAGAAAAGAGTCGAAATTTCTCTTGTCTTCACCAAAGACTTCTAGAGAAAAAGCTTGTAAGATCCTGTTTGAAAATAATTTGAGTAAGCTGATATAAGCATTGTTCAATTGAAGGACATATAAATAATTAAGATATTGTATGATAAGGAGCTTTTTCGATTATATGAGGATCTGGAAATTTGTCAGGTACTGCGTACGGTGATACGAGCGACGCAAGAGCAGCTGCAAGGCCTCCTGCAATTGCCTGTGTCTCACTGCAACCGCGCAGAGCTCTAGCAATGACACCAGCTGCCAAGCAATCGCCTGCTCCGGATTCATTTAGATTGGTCTCAGAGGGAGGCGGGAGAGCTGGATACAAACGAGCACTTAGTTCGGTATTCGCATCAATACGGTCGCGTGGGATAAAAAATGGTTCTTCAGGTCCACCATGTCGCACTACCAACACCCCTCGTGGCCCCAGAGTTACCAATAACGTCAATGATGGCGACTGAGCAAGCAACTTTTTAGATAGGAACCACGCTTCCAATTCAGGTGCTAGTTCACTATATTCTTGGTCTCCAGGATCTGCTGGCAAAAACATAAAGATAAACCATTTTGAAATGATGCCATAAGTGACACTATTAAAAACATATTTCAACATACCAATTTCTGAAATCATAGTTCTTAGCTCATTTAAGTTTGGAGATGCAACACTAATAGTTTTCCACAAGTCTGTCTGAAAAGCTTTAGCAGCTTTGTGAACATCTGTCGGCTCAAACCAAACTGAAAAATAAAGCAAAAGATGTAGAGATAAGGGTACAATCAAATTTTAAATTGTTAGGTTAGGCTTATTACAACAGTTATTATTATTATTATAAATTATATTATATTATGTAAATATTAAAATATATAATAATATTTTATTATGCTTACAGACTTACAGAATCAACAAATTCCGTCTAGAAATTATTTAAAATTACAATAAGTTACTTACATTACCTTTATAAATGATATGTTTAAGAACATAAAATTGATTAATATAAACAATTAAATTCATTTACATAACATATACTAAAAATTAAAAAGTTTACTTGATAAATTACATGATTAATAAAGTATGCAAGTGTTCACTACACTGAGGAAGCCTGCGACATGACAGGCGAAACGTCGGCCTCTCAGCCAACGATGCGGCGTCACCCGGACAGACGAGAACTCATGAATGCGAGTGCAAGTGGTCATAATACACATTAAAATAATGTAGGTACTGATATTCATAATTACAACACACGTCGCAGAAATCGCATTCATCAAGTGTCAGTATCAACAGCTCTCTACAAAAAAAAAATCCACATACAATACTTGTACTTACTTTACCACTCATTGCAGGGACATTAAACATTTAAAATCGGTCCGCAAATTTCAGTTAAAAGTAAAACCTTTTCTGCTGCATAACTGTTTTGATAAAATTAGAGACTGTAGATCATGCAAAAAAGTTTATTTTAATAATGCTTGTAAAATTGCTTATTTTGCTTCTGGACACAGCTTCTTTTTATGTAGCGTCACTATGCGCAAGGATTGTTGAGCTCTCCTTTTGCTCGTAGCAGTAGAACCAGGGGTGTGTTTCTGTTTTGTTAACAGCACAAAAAATCAAATCCGCCGTTCGTTTACTGATGCAAATACGTTTTTTATAGCTCGGGAGCGAAAATGTCTAGTTTTTCAAATGTTGCTAACCTCAGGTTTTTTAAAGTTATTATTTATTCTTTTAACTTTTATTGATCTTTCAACTATTTATAGTTAAAATATAGAGAAGAAATTCAAGACCTTAAGAAAACGTGCGCACATGGTACTTCTCCCTCATACGTCACACAGTTTTGACTGTTTTTGACTAAATAAATCGAATCACATTTATTTCATTTATTTATTTACGTGAAAAACAATTAAAAACTGTATGTGACGAGCTATGGGGGAAGTTAATTTGAAGTTACATTTATGTCCAGCAGCAAAACAAGGGGCCATCTCAGTATTTGCTCGCGGATCAGCAAAAATGGACGAAAACCTGATCGAGAAGCTGAAGTACAATACTTGTTCCAGGTTCTTTACAATTATAAAATCCAAATGATATATAATACATTAAATGCCGTTGTTAAAATTAATATTACTTTCTCTTTGGATGCTCGGTATAGACTCTGATTGTATAGAAACAGATGAGCAGCAAAAAATATTTTACTGAGGACTTAAACTTTTGTATCGAATTTAATCGTTTAATGTCATCTGGCAAGGTATTGTAAAATAATGTACATGTATTATAAGTGTTTTTTTTTGTAGTGAGCTGTTGATAGTTACCTGTTGAATATGATTACTACGTTGAGTGTTATAGTTATAGACAACGGCGTTTGCTCAAAATATATACTCGCCTTTAAGTAAGTCATTTTTGACAAAAATCACTGATTCATATATTGAGAGACAAGGTAATGGTAAAATACCTAGATTAATAATGAGATGCTTACAAGAATCACGTAAGTGGGATTTGCTTACTATTCGTACAATTCTTTTTTGTAATCTAAAAGTCTGGGAGCTATAAGATGTATTTCCCCAGAATATTATGCCTTATCTCAGGCTGGAATGAACATTCGCGAAACATAGACAGTGAGCAGTGTGATTAATTTAGCCTATTTAGAGACTTGGTCTAAGCGAAGGACATGGGCCTAAGGTTCAAATGAAGTTACTTATCTCTTGATATGAGCAGAAAGTAAATGAAATGCAGTTAAAACATTGTATTTAATATGTGTTACTTGTCATCAACAACATTGCATTTCCAATCAGGTGACCAATGTCTTTCATTTAAGGCTCGTAAATATAATCCTGATAATTGTCACAATTGGGTTACACCACTTGCGAAATGAATATGCAAACGATATGATTCACAAAAAAATATGAAATGCTGGTAACAATATTGTATTTACTTAACAGTTTACAATAAACCTAAATTAAATTATCAGTTTTAACAAAAACTAAATTACATATTGTGGCGGCACATAGATTCCACCAACAGTGACTTTCAAAACATAAACAAAGATTTATTAAATTAGTAAGAAAGTTTGTCAGCTCGGAAGACTTATGCCTTTGTGCGTACCAGAGCTTGTTCGGGGCCCCAGCCCCTCCGCCCCCCAATCTGCCAGGTCAGAAGCCACCCTTCGCCACCATTTGAGACACGCCCACTCCCCGGTCTCGCGTCGGGCATCAACAATTATTATTATTATTATTATTATTATTATTATTATTACTATTATTATTATTATTGTTATTATTATATTTTTTTGCGTGCACACCTGCTTGCCGAACCCTCGCCAGACCCACCCGCCTTACCCTAGAGATCGTAATTCTAAAGAAACAGAACGCTCCTTGTCACATTAGCATCCCTCCCCTTTTGAGACCACCAAATACATTTAATTAAATCAGACGCCCATACATTCACCCGCACGGAGAAACTATGTATTTTCTCGTGTGACAAAGTTAGCGCTGAATGGAAATTTTCCATTTCGAGAATCTTTCAGAAGCGAAATGTGATTAACGGAGAATTATTTTAGACGCAATAGACTCGAGCCAATCAGAGCCCAAAATTTAAGCTACAGGGAATCGAAAGGAAGAGATCAGAGAACGAAAGGACACTTGAATTTCTGCTTCGGCGGAGATCGCACGTGAGTTAGGTTGCCGGGCTCAGTAACACCTGTGCGATTTCTAATTAGACTTATACTTCACTTTCTGCTTGAGCTGAATGGCCGCACATAGAGGCAGGCTGACTTACGTTCGTATGAGTTTATTTCATTGAATTCTTTATCGGCAATTTTGGCAACATTTATCCCGCAAAAGTCGATGACTTGGAATGAAATCAAGGTTCCGAGAATTGCCATAACTGTGGCACTCACGAAGGACTGGCTTACGAGTGCGTCATATGGCGAAAAAAGTGTGATGAACCGAATTCGACCGCTGTAGTACACTCGTGAAGGACGTCTCTGGAGGAGATCCGACCTGCCATGCCACCCGTCTGCCCGACGTCGGGTGTCCCCTCCGACCTGCGAAGGACGCCCCCTTTCAAACAGCTGGGCAACATCTCTTTAAACCAAGCAAATGCTATTTATTTGGGCAAATAGAGCATAAAATCAGAGCAAGAATTTTTATTATTCACTAAAAAACTATTCTTTGATTGCTAATTGTATAATTTTAAAATGCTTTACAAATCGTGCTATTGTCACCAGCTTCTCTAACCACTCTAACTTAACATTTTGTACACACAAACGCAAACTGTTTGACGATAATTCACTTGCAATGTAAACAATAAGGACTAATATTCAACGCAGAAAGAAAGAAACGAACGGGTGCCGAAGTAAATCTATCCTATATTATTGCGGGCTTTGGTATAAAAAAAGTGGACAAATACTGATTTTATACATAGTAAATTATGTCCTCCAACACGTGATGAAACTAGAATCCATATTTTATGGATCGTCGATATCGAAAGATTGATGGACAGCAAAACGTCCACCTGCCTGTGAACACTGCAAACGGCTAAACCGTTTAGCCGATTTTAGCGTTAATTTAGCGTTAATTTATTTTTGTAAATTTCAATCGCAAAATCCGCAAAAATTACATTTAAAAAAATTGTACATGACCTTTTGAATATTAGTTAATTTTGTACAATAGACTCTTTGTCTGAGACACAAATCTCTATCTCCAATTTTGAAGATTTAAATTATGTTTCTAATTTTAGAAAAATCGAGGATGACAACAAAAATGAGACCTGCACCATTCTATTAAACGTCCTTTGCACTATTCAACAACAAAATTTAATCAAAACATTGAGAGCCATTTATTAAACATGTTTAAATGTCCCAGGGGCTTCATAAAAAGTATACCCCCAGAATTAAAATATTGATTTCAAATCCCAGGGACTGCGACCAGCTAGAACGATTGGGGAATGCCAATTTTGGAGAAAATCGGCAGAAGTATTTATGCGACATCGTTGACAGACGTTTTGCCGTCAATCGTTTTTTAGGTATAAAGGACGCGAAAACATGGATTCTAGCTACACCACGGTTAGAGGATTTTTTTCAATACTTAGCAACTGGGTTCATCCACTTTTCTCTTACCGAGGCCCGGCAATAAAGGATTTTTGTGTCGGAAATTCACGGTTTTCTGGCGCACGATTACAATACTTCCTCTTCTTACGTTAGTAAGTGCGAGAAAGTTTAAAAAAGGGGAACAATATTTTCGAATGAATCCACTATTAACTGCCTCCCGCGCTTCAGTTTGCGCATGTACACACCTTTCTGGATTTGAAGGGGAAATGAGTGCGGAGTCAGGGGAAGTTACCCATGTCCGTCCGTAGTAGCGCCGGGCCTGCGCCGGGCTCCCCGGGCGGGCAAGAACAACGTAGCTCGTACAGGCGCGGTTTGACGTGCCTACTCTATACTATACTATACTTCGTACATTACCACTTCAATCTTTTCGTAAATAACTATTAAAATTTGTATAATTGTTTATTCTCATCATGTTTAAATGCTAACTGCACAGAATTATTTCAAAATGCCACCTATGCAAAGCATGCTGGGATTATTTAAGACATAACCGGCGTGACGGTGACCACAAAAGACCTGAAGCGAACCGCGATCCAAGGCCAAACGCTCTGTTAAACACGCCCTGATATTGGATGCCCTGGGTGGTGCGGTGTTTTGGGGCGTGACGCTAAGGTCATATTTGTAGTTTGTTTAGAATAAGGTTAAAATTGTAATCGTGAACTCCATGGTTTTAGAGTAATGGGTTCCAAAACTAAGACTGGCCTTGCTGCTACGTATTTGACTGTATTAGCTTTCTTGCTCATATTCGTAGCTTTTGTGACACCGTGTTGGCTTGAAACTGATGGTAAAATACCAAATCCTAAATTTATAAGAATTGGTAAGTACTCATTAATATCTAATGTGTAAAAATTCAGTGAAGATGAAGCCTAGAACACATAACCTTTCAATGATATTGCTTGTAACATGCAAGTTATTTTATCCAAGTATTTTTTCAAGAATTTGTTAAAACTTATAACTTGACAATAGGTTTGTGGGAGGTGTGCTTCAATGACTTGAAAGACACACATCACTTTTATGACACAAGATTCACTGGTTGTTGGTGGGTTTTTGAAGAGGAATACTACATAATTCATGACCTTCTTCTGCCAGGTAATAATTCAGGCTCTTGAGAAATTAATGGTATCAAGTTCAAAGTCACTGTTACAATTCTCTATATGTGTTATAGGATTCTTCGTTGCCACACAATTTTTCTTCACATTATGTTTCACCCTTCTTCTGGTGGCTAGTTTCCTGACAGCCTTGTACTTGTGTTGTTCCCGCCATCATGATCGCTTTGTTTTGCTTCTGCTCGTCACTGGTGCGGATCTTGTTTTGGCAGGTAAGTTCACGTCAGTTTGTTTGATTAAAACCTTATTCATTTATGACTAAGTAATTTGTGTTTAAACATATTGCAATAAATTGTGTTGTAATATGATGATAATAGTAATAAAAATAATATGATAATGATAAGGGAAATTTTATTACAAGGCTAATAAAAAAACCTGTTTAAAAAAGTAATTGTTTACAAGTTGGAAATGGGGTGTGCATTCCAGAATTATATTCACAACATTGTACCTAATTTCTCAGAAAGTATATTAAGTAAGTTATTGAATACTGATGCATTAGTGAGGAATAGTTGGGCATGTTTATAACCGTCAGTTTCATCCTCTTTAAGAGAGGTAGAAAAGGCTAAGCCTTTGAAGATCTAATTGAGAAAGATCTATCCAAATGTTATTAAAAGCAAAAATGATTGACAGAAGGATAATTATGAAGAGAATATATGAATATGCCAAAACACTTTACAATAATGATGATACACAGGAACAACTGATTATAGAAATTTAGAGTTAGATTTATTCAGTCAAAAAAACTGTATGTGACATAGGGGGAAAAGATTATCTGCACAAGTTTTCTTGAGTTCCAGATTCCCTTCCCGTCATTTTAACTATAAATAGTTGAAAGATGAGTAAAAGTTTAACATAAATAAATTAAAAATAAATTTTAAAAATTGCAAGATTAGTAATATTTGAAAATAGTCATTTTTGTTTCTGAGTTAATAGAAAACTTATTTGCATCAGTATTATAAATACTTAGTTCTGAAAGTTCTAAGTTCATGAGCTCTGAAAAATTTATTGGGAAATTGAAACATTCTTACCTTGGCAATTAAAATTCAACTACAAAATGACTATGGAACAATGTGGCTTATGAGGGAGAGAGCTTACAAATAATCTACTTGGGAGAAAGACGAGGGTTGATGTACTGATGTTTCAGTCAATGGTAGAATGAAAGTCATAATAAATTATTTAAAGGCAAGGGTGCTAGATGGTATGCCCATTGAGGAGTAGTTATTGTTAATTTAGATGTTCACATAAGTTTTAAAGATTAATGTAAGGTAATATTGGTAACTTATTGTATATATGTATCTGAAGGTAGATTTAACATTGACAAGCTTAAAAGAAGTTAAGGGCTAAAAAAATTGAATGGTGTACTTTTTCCGAATGTTTGTGTTAAATCTCTTGCTTGATGCTCATTGAAACTTTTAAAGTTGCTCATGTACAAGTGGAAACGTTGGATAGGTAGGAAATTAGGTACTAAGTATGGGTTGCCCCGGTTACTATTAATGTATTTTCATCATAGTTTTGCTGCAATTGGAACTCTGTTAAATTTATGAAAAAAAGTTGTATGATATTTACATTTTACTCAAAATAATCTGAATTGTCAGTGGTTACTTAGAAAATAACTGCTTCGTTGTTCTCTCATTGGTTTCATGATCACAACAGCAGTTCTTGTTTTGATCTCCATGTTCCCTTTCCAACCCCCTTGGCCTTGTAAAACTGAATTTTTAATTAGAAACTCAAGCTACACACAACCATAAAGACAAATAAGGGAAATCAGTATAATTTTTGTTATGAGCTTTTTTACAATTAGCCAGGAACAAATATCAAGTTACCATTTTTGAAGTCCAATGGAAAGAAAAATAGCTCTAATAAGCTAAATACAACTGCAACAAAAGCAACTAGGGACATTCTGAAAGAAAACTGAACTCCAAATGTCTACGACTAAACAGAAGAAACATGCAATTGCATAAAACTCTGATCCTCAGTTTTGATATTTCTAAATTAGCCCTGCTGGAGGCATAAATTACTCTCGTTAAATTTGTTTGTCATTTCTGTCATGAAATTAAGTCTGTACCTTGAGAATTTCAAGTTTAAATTGCTTTTGTGGATGCTGAGGCAGCAACATTGGGCCACGTGAACTGTGTGATCAGTCCTTGTATCTTCTGCCCCTGCCCTCAACTAGGACTGTATGCGATGCGATCACACTTCTCTAAAATGGTCCTTTTGTCCTTAATTTAGAGAAGTTTCTTATGATTTTATTTTTTTCTTAGAAACAATAAATAAAACAGTAACATGGAATGGTGGAAGACTGAGGTATAAAAGCTAATTTTATTGTCCACAAATGAAACAAGGAACAGCATTTGCTCAATGTACACTTGACTAAAGTTCAGTTGAGTGAGGAGGTAATGAGAAAATAGATGCACAATATCTTTAATAGATAAAAGGATGGGGCAATAGTTAATTAGTAGTATTTTGTATAAATACATATATCATATTTACTCGAATATAAGGTGACCCCCCCCCCCTAATTTTGATTCTTACTATTCAGTCAAAATGAAATTACAAAATGTCTTATAGCCTAAAAAATTGCCTTGTTGATGAGAATGTTAAGAGTTATTGCTGAACTATTATTTTCTTGCTCCTTAATATCATCATAATCATGGTTTTTGTCACTACCCTCATCATCTTCACATTATCAAAGTTTGTTTCTTTTTGGTCCTCTTTCCGTGCTGTAACATTTTCTGACTTTTTAGGTCCCTCTTGAAAGTTTTGGGGACTAAATTTTGCGTTGTTTATAGTATTTCATCAGACGCCATCTAACAACATTCCCTTTTAACGCCAGGTTTTCTATCCGTACCGCACTTGATGGCCTGTTCAAAACGCAGATTCGTATTCGCCGGGAGTTGAACCGAGATTCCGCACCTCGTCGAACCCGCATCGTGTAATGAACTCTCCGCATTCATTTTCACGTTACGTCTCATTTGATACATTGCCATTCGGTTAGATATTCTCATTGCCGTCCCAAAAATATCCGTCTGAATTTCCCGGCAAATTCGCGGTGGATGCCGAGAATACGAATATAATTATATACGATTACGCGCGATATAATTTAGCGTCTTCGCAGTTTGTTACGTCATTTACAAGTTTTGTAACAAGGAATGGCAATGTAAAAAACTAGAATCCTAATCGACCAGGCTTAATCTACGAATACAAGACGACCCCGCATTTTCCGACTGAGATATTGTGGAAAACAAACAAACAAACAAACAAACAAAAAACACTCATTTTATATTCGGGTAAATACGGTAATAAGCATATTACTACACAATTAAGAAGACTAGGATGTCAAAAATCATTACATGACTTGCAACTTCCATTGATGTTTTGGATCATCTAATTTTAAATAATTCTTCCACATAAGTCTCATTTTAAGTGTGTAAATGTATGTGTTTCTGTCATTGAACTCATTTTAAGTGTTCAAAATTATGTAAATTTATTATTGTTTCTGTCAATGATTTTGAGATGTGTTGCTTTTTGTCTTTAGCTGTTGCTGGTACAATAGCTGTGATCATATTTGGTGCTCGTGGAGATGGACGTGATTGGATGCCTTCTTGGGAGCATAACAACATGAGCTGGTCCTATGCGTTGGCGGTACTAGGGGTTTTAGCCCTCTACGCATCTGGATTTCTCTTTCTGACTGAAGGTCGTCGTCATCACAAGCGCAGATTGCGTGAACGGGAAGGACACACCTCAGAATTTGGAATGCAGCAGAGGAAAGGTCCTGCTACTCATACTACAATATGAGATTACTGAAAAGATCTGATTCGGTTTAAGAAAAGTGCCTTTTAAAACATAGGGGCAATTTATTCCGTCCGGGTGTTAAGTGGAATAGATGTAGTTGAACACAAGATAATCTTATGCCATAATCGGAGCCATTGTCTGTGCTCATTGTTCTGATTTTTAACTTTTTCAGAGGAAATTGTTGAATATGTTTTATAGATTAACTTGTTTCTATGGAAAATTAATTTATTTTTTACCTTTGATAGATAGTACTTATAAATTTTATAATTTCAGCAACTCTTAATGTTTTTGTATTTTCTGCAGTGTCATGCACAGTGGCTGGCTAGACTACATACTCAACCACTTAGAAAACAGTTTTGATAATCTACACAAATAAGTATTTATATGTGATTTTTTTAAGAAGTTGCAACGAAACTTTTGTTTATTGCAACTGATAAAGGAAATGAGTATTTCTGTAATTTGTAGGGTGATTGCATATATTTTTAATGCACATTTATGTTTTTTATAAACAATAATATATTTTTTTTGCTCCATTTGTAAAAATTGGTCTTCTCAGTATGTGACTTTAGATCAAGGAATGGATTGGATAGTACCACAAATGATTATATATATATATATATATATATATATATATATATATATATATAATGCCTGGTTTATATTTTGTTTCTGGCAACAATTAATGAAATGATGTAATGTTGTATATAGTTTTGCACATTTATATAACTGAATTAAAATATGACATTAGTCAAGTTTTACATTTTAACTTGATGGAAATGTTTTATTTACAATTTGTTAATTGAATGAATTACCATACTGTGGTACTAAGAAACAATTCACAATGTACAAATATTTGATTATGTTATATTTTTCTCATACAAGAACATGCTTTTGCTTACAAAAAGTATCTGAATTACATTTGAGAGTAATTTGTGGATATCTCTTTGATTTCCATTTTCTGGCTTTTAAAGATTTTCTTTATGTATTGAATTATTTCTTATGTTTCATATACACAATGTCTTGATTTTGTGTACTTAATCGGAAATTTGAATCTTTGAACATTATAAAAAGTAGACAAAGTTTTGAATGTTGTGTTCATTTAAGCAGCTCAACAATTTGAACTATTAATGATTATGATAACCCTAAAGACTCAAACGTTATTGAAAAGCTTACTTCCAGAGTGATGCATTTCCAAGAATGAAAATTTTCCAGGGGGAGAAAATGTTCAAATTCAGCCATATTTTTGAAAGTTAGATTTAATAGTTTTCAGATAGTGTTTATCATAGAAGAAAAGCTATTTTTGAATGCACTATTTGCCAGCATTGTGGGGAACTGTCTTGAGATAATATTGATACTTAAAAACTACAAAACAAATGGAAATGAAGATATGTCACTCAAATTACATGCTTCCTTTTCGGATGTTAGAAAGATGTCTGGTGTATTAGCAAATGTGCGTATGCACACAGCAACTCTGCTATCCCAGAAGTTGGTGTGCACTTAATTATTTTCAATGATTTGTCAAAAGGAAGTGTGTGAATGAGGTCATAGGAAATAGGCTCTTCAAATGAGTTGAGAAATTATTCTCTGGAGAAGACAATGATCTGAGTGATCTGTAGTGATGCATGTCACTTGGGAAATCATGTTCTCGTTTGTCTCTGCATTATCAGAGAAATCATGGGCTTGTTCTAACTTCTGGTCAGCCTTCCTCTCATTTGAGTATGAGAAATAAGTGGTTTTTATCAATTCCTTAGTGTTCTTTTTTCCTTGATTCTGCCTCAAGATAAATGTTACAACACAGTATTTTTGAGGATATAATCAAACAAACTCATTCCAAATGCATGCTACAAATAATTATCTTGTCAAAATATATTTGAGTGATAAATATTTTTGACTCAAGTTTCAAGTATTTTTATACCGTCCACTTGTATATTTCTGTGTGTTTGATACTATTTTATAGACTATCTGAGTAAAGTATAGTTTTAATATATTTTTATGTTGACCTGTATTTAAATACATTTATGAATGCTTGAAATATGTATAAATAAATGTGTTCAGTTTCATTAAACAATGGCTTATGTTTTCGTTTCAGTTGAACTTCATTTCCTCAGACTTCATTCTTATAACTGCCCATTAAATACACACCTATTTCTTGTGCGTTTTAAAAAAAAACGTTAAAACTTGACTAGTACCTATTTACCACCCTATTAACACCTTTAATGTTTAACTCTCTCCCGGTTCCCATTTACTGTCAGCGAGACTGCTTACTCAACGTCATGTTGAAACATGAGTCATGAGGGAAGACGCAAGACTCCTGACCTTCCGGCCTCCCCCGAAGGCCAACATAGCTATTCTCCCTATCCGTTCCCAGAGGTTCTCAGCATGTCACCTGCTTCCCATGCGCTGCCACCTGTTCCTCCCCCGACCCCACCTACCACGCCCCGCGCGTTCCCAGACTTACCGTTGCGCCGTTGTTATAGCGTCAGCTCTTGCCAACATACCAAACAATACCGAGGCACGAAATATTCCAGAAATATTCCACATAGAATTATATACAATTAAAGAATAATGCTCTATAAGTATATATGTTTGATAGAATAAAAGGTTGTTAGGGTGCATGGGCTTTCGCCGACGATTAAGCTTTCGTTCCTTGCTATCAACTTGGCAGTCCTGAGCACTCTCTTCCCAAGCACTCTCCCATAACACAACAACACGCTAAGAGAACGCAACGAGCGGTTGAGAAAGGGCGTCTCCTTGTCGTCGTCCTCGCACGCCCGACGTGCGAGTGCTAACTGAATTGGTATGTGGTATGACTAGTGTCTCGGCTGTCCGGAGGGGCTCTTATCAGCAAATCCATCGACTTCAACACCTCCAGAAACCTGAACCACAGGCACCCAGGTGAGTACCCCAAATTCGATTGAATGTTATTTTTCAATATAAAACTTGGTTTCAGCACTGTAGTAGCATTTTCTGAGTAATGGAAATCTTTCTTCCCATCAGGATGAAGAAGCGTTCATTTGCTGGACACATAGGGGTGGGTGTGTTTGTAGTGGCTCTTGTCACCGTGGTTGTGTCATTTTGCGCTCCTGCTTGGCTAGTGTCCGATCATCGAATTACCGGGGCGAAGCTCGACCGACTGGGTCTGTGGTCGCACTGTTTTCGTTCTCTTGCACCTCCTGGCGACGAGTATCTTCGGCGCTTCTTCGTGGGATGCCGCTGGGTCTACGATCCATTCACTACTGGTTATGATGAAATTCGTGGATTTCTTCTTCCTCGTAAGTTTCATGACCATCAGTGCCTTAATTCTGGGTTAACTTCACTCCAAGAGCTTTTGTGGTATTTAAAGTATTATTGGTAATAAAGTGGACGTTTTGCAGAAATAACTAAGTCTATTATTGTGGCACATTATTTATTCTATGAACATGTGTGCTAAATGTACACTGTCTCTTTTGAACAGTTTTGCTAAATTTAAAATGTTATATATTATTTTTCCAGCATTTATGATAGCTACACAGTTCTTCTTCACATTATGTTTTCTTGCGGTTTTGGCATCATTCTTGCTGGTTCTTCTGCTCGTCTTGTGTTGTGGACCTGAGCAGACACATTTTATACTACTATTGAGAGCATTGTCTGGCTTACTGCTTTTTGCAGGTAATAGAACTTTTCACAACATGAAGACTTTTATGAGATTACTGTAATATATTATTGCAACATTCATAAGGATATCACATAATGGATTTTGAAATTATCTTGGAAGAAAGCAGAGTAACGAAAATCATCCTAGCAAATTGTCCTTTACTAGTTATGTCATTTAGAAGGGATATATAGACAGATATTTACAACACCAACAAAAAAAAACCTTGTAAATATAAAGATCTTCAATTGGATGATTATTAATTAAGAACATGTAAATATTGATTGATATAATATTATGAACTGTCTATTTTGTTTTATTTTCAAAAAAATTAAAGATCCCAATTATTTAACTATCCACAATAATAATAATAATAATAATATGTAGAGTGGGAAAAACTTTGACGCCACAGACAATACATAGTATTCCTCCATTTTTGTTGACACCTCCCCCGAATTCTAATAATATACCCCTAGAACTTACTTGAAGAAAAGTAATATAGCCAGTCATCAAGAAATTTAAAATTATAAGTTTACCCTAATATTTCTGTATCTTACCTTTGTTTTTAGACTAAAGAAATTAAAAAAAACTAATCATGTTGGCTAATGCTTTTATAATGTTTAATATTTCTTATGTGTTTTAAAATAATATAACTGTCTAAATAATAGAGACCTTTAGCTTTTTTTTTTGAAATTTGATTGATCTTAATCTGTCTTAAATTATAATTTGTATCAGCCATTACAATTATAGTAAGTGTTTTTTCCAAATTCCAGGCATTAGTGGAGCAATTGGCGTGATAGTATTTGCATGTTTGGGTAATGCTGATGGTTGGATGCCTGAACATGCAAATAACTTTCTTGGCTGGGCCTTTGGCCTAGCTGTTGTGGGTGTTGTTGCATGTCTAATTTCTGGTGGACTGTTTCTTACTGAAACAAATGTCCAAAACAAGAAACGCAAGCAATTTAAAGAGTCTCAGGCCAGATTTGAGTTGCAGCAGCAGGAATCAAAAGCCTAAGAAAGAAGAAAGGAAGGCAGCTCTACTCCCCAGAGCAGTATCCGTCGTTTCAGACCATATGAACTGTTCATTATACTTTTGTGTGTAAATGTACACACCACTCGTATCTGATGGAAATCAACACGAACCGATTACATTCTTCACAATCTTTCCGCAACTAGTTTTGTAGTTTGTGATGAGTTAATTCTGGTCCATTCAGTGATTGAACACACTGATAATCCATATTTTATTTGCATCAGGTGAGTATAATGAATATTTCAGAATATATCTTCTCCGTCCACTTTGATAACTTATAACTACTCCGTCCTCGAATATTGTTATTTTATCTCTTTTATAGTTTCAATTTACCATTTTATACAAGTTATCAGTTTTTACTATTTGTTGACTGAATATATTTTGAAACATTGAAATTTATTTCATAGTTCTTTAGGAACTTTTGTACTGACAGTATTTGAGAAAACAAATGATCTAGAATATACTACATAGAGTGGCTGACTTTATGGTTTCAACGCTCTTGGTAGAAGCTCAACGCTGCCATGTGTTTTGCAGTAAAATCATACGAGGTGCTGATAGTCGCGTGTTGTTTGTATCAGATCTTATTTTTACATTGTTGTCTTTTTATTTATCTGCATATACATTAGTTGTTAGAATAATAATATCCACAAAGTCTTTGGTATGTTCGGCATATAACTGTACAAACAAGTCCCAAATATATAGCGTTTTTCAAGTTTGCTGCCTTATTTGCGATCCCTTTGTTGGCTTCTTATTGCAATAACGTTCACTTTCCAGCTTTTGACTAACTACAATAACATTTCAACAACTTCCATTCTTATGACAATAACCAATGCAGGAAGCAGTGTGCATTTGAAGTTTCTCAATTCATTCTCCTAACATATTGTCATTGCATTTTAAACTATTGGTTTTTTGTCATGGAGCATAAGAGTAAGAGAATTTATATAGCCCAGCTCATGCCCACCTGGCTGTAACCAGCACCAAATGGAATACTAGAATACTGTTTCTCCGAAGGTCGCAGCTTTCACTTCATAAAATATGGCTTCAATTTGCTGCACAGATGGAGGCGCTTCAGCCTCTCTATGTAGTATGTTCTAGCTCGTTAGAGAGAACTTATTTTAACAAACAATTGTTAAATAATTTATATTGTTCAGATAATACATCAGTAATCTTCAGTTTTAGGACCTATCAAGTTACTGGGTCTTTTTATAATATTTTAGACTCGCACAAATATTTGCTAAAATGTGATTATATCCAGGGATAAAATCGGGTTCTATATTATTACAATTATTGAATCTCGCAAGTGATCTTTCAACAATAAACTTATTAAATCAGTTCATTTGTAGAAGAATATTTTGTGCCTGATTGTGTAAGAGAATTTTTATATTAAAGGTATTTATAGGAATTAATAAAAGTGATCTATTGCTGAATATGAATTATATTTTCCAGTCAATTTCAATGTGACTTTCACATTATTCCCAGAACTAACAGAATAGAATTCAATAATTTTGGCTTTAAAAATGGTATGCTCAAACTTTGAAAATGCAGTGTTGCATTTATGAATCTCTGGGACATGTATATTATTGTATTTTGAACAGAGGTGCTCACAGTTACATGTGAAATTTACTCATTCCGTAAAATAAATTTTACACTGGTGAATGTTAAGAAGTGTCCAGGACTAGAATCTATTTTTTAGACTTTTCCATATTTTTCAAGGGTAACAAGATGTGTAGAGGGGGCAAGAGATGCTTCCTCCACTACTTGTAAATTGGGCTAGTTAATTTATGAGATCTGAATTCATTTAGTTTGTTATTTGACTGAGGATATGAAAGGGTATTTTTTATTTCTGTGTCAGCTGAAGACTGGTGCATTTTGAATGGCATTTCGATAGTTCAAAAAACTTGAAAAAGGATGCAAATTTTATGGCATGATTTATACTTGGTATGGGTGTCTGTTTTAAAAATGATTGGTATTGAACACAATGCTTTTCATTATCTTGTCATCACGTATTTTAGGTATAAAGGAAACATTTGTACTGCTCACCCCCCTTTTTTTTGTCTTTTGGGAGATTATGAATTGCATGCTATTCACTGCCAACATTTATCTCAAGATTGATGATTGCCTTTAAATTAGTGCCTCTGTTGTAAGGAGTCTTTTTAAGATTAGAGAAAATTTAACATAACTTTGAATTTCAATTGTCTGGTTTATGTTGTGTTAATGTGTCTATGACCTTGGTATCAATAGTAAAACATAGGTCGGTGAACATTAATTGTACAATTATGAGATTACAGTGTTAGGATTTGTTATATAAACTTCAGAATTGTTATATTGTAAATAATGTTTCTCTGAATAATGATCCCTTCCCGATCCATAAATGTACAGTATATTAAATAATCAAGTGAATCTTTTATATTTAATTATAAATTGAACAGTATTAAAAATTGTTTTTCATGCAATTACTGCCAAGGCTTCATAAGTTTTATCTTGAGCAGTATTATGTATATTTATGCAGTATGGGCAATAAATAGCTGTATTATGAATAAACAAAAGTGGTGAAATTTTGGTCCTTTGAATTCACAAGTTATACTTCATGTAACACTTTTTATATTTGATAATTTTTATTATGTCGTGCAAATATGCATAAAATAAAGTTTTTCACAAATACCAGTTTGTTTTATTTTTCATAATTCAGAATGGCCACCAATCATGGAAGAAAGTTGGAGAATATTGTATTGCCTAGATATGTGGGGGGGAATTTAGAAAAGAAGGAATATTTTTTTATTTATTAAAATTGTTTTTTCAGTTCTTTGAGGGTTGATTTAGATAACTTAATGACTGTTTGAATCAACAATGTTAAATAATTTTTTATTTTCATCCTATCTACATGACCATAAAATAATAATGTAAGTTTATTTCATTTAGATAATGAATATATTTGAATTATGCCTAAATTTTTTTCTTCTATTACCTTTCCTAATTCTCTAAAAAATTAGCCATTTTTACAATTTATAAATGCAAAGAATTCTAAAATCAATGTACTGACTAGAAATTTGTTTAATCAAATCTTATAGTTATATTGGAAATAATTTCTGGAGAAATACTTTGTTGATGAATTTCATTTCTCATAGTTGATGGTCACTGTTTTTGTTTTGTACCACCAAAATACCAGAAACAATACAGTATGGAAATTAAAGCATAGGAGATAAGTAGGTTCTACATCAGTGGGTTTCCAATCTCCTTCCTGCATCCATTAATTAAGCTTTATAATTCCAAATCCCACCTTCTGGCTGAGATAGGTCAGAACTGAAATTACCATTACCACAGACTGACAGGCCCTAAGGTTCAGGTTCCAACAATAGAAGATTTTTGAAACTGGCGGAGCCGAATTAAGCTGCGGAAAGGAGATAATTCTAGCATCGGGCCTCTCCTGGTAATTTGCTGTGTTTTTTCCGACCAATACCAGATGAAAGCCAGAGCATTACCCAAACAAATGGACCACAAACAGATAACGATATTTCCTTCCTCGTCCTTGTTGTGTCCTCTCTCCCTTTTACACACTTGAACTTACATGCACTAAACTATTACACAATTTAGGAGACCAGTTAGGTTCTAACTGTTAAGTGATTAGGCCAGTGTCCTGCTTTCCAGAGGGAGACATCTCCTGCAAGCCAACATGGTTGACAAATCTCGTCATCCAGCAAGGGAGAAATACCGACACCTCTCAGGATAAAACATTTCTACAAACATATATCATAAATAACAAAGATCATAGCAGCTGACATGCCTGAAAACATCAATCAATGAATCAATCCATGCGCCCCTGAGTCTTAGGAGTTGTCCATGAATTACGAAATGAAATGACATAATAAATGAATCCTATAAAATTTACCACATTGTTTGGTGTGTGGAGAAGGGGGGATATAAGGGGCTGCCCATAAATTATGTAACACAAATTTGGAGTATTTTGAATACCCCCTTGCCCTCTGGTAACACAACCATAACTCATGCTTGAGCTCTGTAAATAATATTCAAATGGTTGATTAGAAGCTACACACACGCCATCATGAATGATGCAAGACTGAGAGTCTACAGCGCCAAAAGAAATGGATTCTAGAATGTACTTCATAACAGTTTTGAATATTTTCTTCATAATCGCACAAAAAAAATCCAATTATTGTAACAATTATAACTAATAATTTTAAAATAAACTAAAGATTGGGTCTAAGGCAGCGTTACTCTGTGTTGCATAGGGAAGGAGTTAGATGCTAGATATTAGTTAGATGTTATGTAACATTGTTAATTTTTTTACATTTTTCAACATTTGCTTAAATTATTCCTTTTTGAGTCCTGTATTAAAATATTAATATATTAACTACTTCATTTATTTTGGGTGAAAAAAAAAATAACAACCTAAAGTTATTAGTTATAGATTGTGACAATAAATGGAAATATTTTTTTAAATTTGTAAGATTACGAAGGAAATGTTCAAAACCGATGTGAAGTAATATAGAATCCATTTACATTAGTACTGTAGAGTCTCGTTCTAGCTTCATTCATGATGGCATGTGCAAAACTTCTAATCAACTATTTCTTGACCAAACATTCTTCCTTTACTCACAACATGCCCCAATCTTACTGTTAGGTGCAACCAGCATTGCCAACTAATTTCTACTTTAATTACCATTAATTACCTAATTATATAACAAAAGTAAAATAAACACTGTTTTTACTGTGCTACAATTTATTTTGACTCCTTTTGTTTACCAGGTGGGGGAGTTGTCACATGTGTTATGGAATTATTTACAGGAGTTCAAGAGTGTGTTACAAGGGGGAGAGGGGGTACTGAAAATACTCCAAATTTGTGTTATGTAGTTTATGAACGGCCCTTTATATCCTCCTTCCCTACGCACCAAATAATCTTTGGAATATTTCATAGGTTTCATTCATTATATTGAGACAGAAGAGTGAATGATAAACTACTTATTACATATACTGAGAACTAGTAAATAATCAAAATTTAAAATAATAACAGCTGTTGTACTTGATTTTATTTTGTTTTATAAGTCACCTCAAATTATAATAAGAGCATAACATGAAGACGAATCATGGATACAAAACCATTTGTACCAGATTAACAAATGAATAATACTGGCTGTCAAGATTTCTTAAGCAACAGTTCTTTTCTTTCTTTCTTCTCCATCATTATTTATTCTTTTATTTCCTTGTTTCTTATTTCCCCCTCTTCTTGTCCTCTTTCTCTCTAGTTCTATGTTTTATTAATGTGTTTAAACAAAATTGAAAACTGGCTATATTTCACGCAAAATATCCCAAAAAGTACTCAAATTTTCGAAAAGGTATGCATGACCTTATTTCAAAATTTGTCTTCCTTAAGGAACAGATATTATTAAGGGACATCTCTAATTTCATTATTTTAGTTGTAGGAAGGCGCCGAAAATTTTTTGAACTTTTGAAATTTTCGAAAAATATGGGTTGTTAATGAACATGAGACCTGCACATTTCTGTTAAGCTGTCCGCTAACAAAATTTTTAAAAAAATTGTGACTTAATTTTGAAAATGTCCTAGGGGCGTTATGTAAAGTACCCCCCAAAATTAAAATATGTTTCAAATTCAAGGGGCAGCTCAGATCGATTAGTAAATTATCAATTTAGGAGAACATCGGCTGAATAGTTTAGCCGCTAGCGTTGTATACGGGCAGACATTTTCCCGTCATTCGACTTTCGGTATCAAGGACCCAATACGGCTACGTGTTACACCTCCCCTATATTTAGTAACTGGAATTTTCCACTTTTTCGTTACAAGGATCGGGCAATAAAGAGTTTTTCTGTCGAATATTCGCTGTTTATTCCTGCAGCATTACAGAACTTTTCATATACTGGGTAAATAAAATTTTTGATCGGATTAACATTGTCCCCATTCATTATACAAGAAGTTCAGGGGCATTACTGTAGAAGAATTCATTCTGTATTCCTTCATGGACTGGTCCCCTCTTCCCTTTTATCACAGTATAACTGTTATACTTTTCTTTTATAAATACCATTTGCTCACAAGTGCGGGTGTTATCCTACAGAAAATAACGAATGAGATATTAATACGTGTGGGGCGGGTGTGGCAGTGGGCAGAACGGATTCAATGAGAACGCTATTTCATTGATACCAACGTTGCAAAGTAATAATAAGAATGGTTTGAAAGATTTAAAATCACCTATATTTTCTGTAATGTTTCCGTAAAATGTTTACTGAATGTACTTTGAGTGTCCACAATATTAATAATAGTGATCACGTTGTAGCCATTCGATTTACTTAAGAAAATAGTCGAGTTTTCTTCAATGTTGATACACCTACTCGAAACAAACAATATGGTTGATGGAGAGCGCAGGTGTTTCGGGATGTAAATACGTGAGAAACCTGAGTATTTCGAAGGCTCGTACTCAGATATTAACAAGACAGAAAAAAAACAAAACATTTTTATACTAAAATCAGAGTAAGAGAATTAAACATTTTTCAATATGACGGTGGACAAACAGGAGTATCCAAAAGCATCTAGTAAGTGCCGCATATGCAATAAAAGAATTATAAGTCAAAGAAATATGAGTAGTGTTTTAACATATTCACTCGGTTTCAGTTGTCATGTTTGTTAACTCCCACTTCTTTTCACTTACCAGCATACTCTTATCAGTTATATTAATAAGGCTGTTATTTGGCTTCTATTGTTAGTTGATAATATTAGGAATTACTTCCTTACAGTTTCAATTATTCAATACTATCATTAAACATATGATTCGTAAATGATAATTACAGTATTTTTCTCAGTTTCTCCTCTGCTGAGATTCAAGTACTATGAACTTCATTGTTAAGTAACTGTTAATACTGAATTTTAATATAATGTTAAATGTTTTTTACTAAAATGTGTTAGAATCTGTTAAAAGTGTTTAGTGCAGGGTTGCAGTTTGCAATTGATAGCATAATCTACATCATGAATTTCAAGTTTTTGAAACCCTTCTGTGACTGAGTGGGAGAAGATTAAAAGAATTAAGGAAATGAGTAAAGTTGTTGGAAAATTGCAGTAAATAATCAACTGTGTAATTAATTTGTTTCATCCCCATGAACAGCAAATGTCTCTTACCCCTTTAAAAATGCATACACACAGAACAAAATGCAAAAGTGTTGCTCTTAATTATAATTTATATCAGGAGTAAGCTTTGCCTCTTAGTGACCACTATTTTATTTGAGTTCATCCTGAGATTGTGGTGAGTTTGGAGAATGTATAAATAGTTACCAAATCATCATGTATTTTGAAATACATTCACCCAAAGCTGATGTATCATCATAAGAAATAGAAATGCAGTGAGGGCCATGTTTTTTAATTCAAAAATTATAATCTTACTTATCTAAAGTGGGTTGCAGTAGGGTACACGGTACACTCGCAGAGAAGTGTGTTGGCAGGTGGTAGGGGTCTCCTTAAGCCCACCCTCAAATTACGCTACACACACTGATAGAAATGAATAAAACTTACGGATAGATGATTTTAATGGCTCGCCATACACTTTGCCCCTGCTGTATTGTAATGCTAATTTACTGTCAACGGCAAGTTTTCTGGCTTCCCTCGCCCAGATCCATTATTTAGAAATGTGATTATGATGATCCAATTGAAAATTGCTTTTTGCAAATGATTTGTTATTTGTTAAACTTAATTTTCAATAATTAATTGAATGAATGTTATAATTACTTACTATTATTTAACGTGTGTTAATCTAAAATCAAAAATATCTCAAATATGCCGTAATTACTACCTCTAATTAGTTAAACCCAGAAAACGGTAGGAAAAATTTAAGTGATTTTAAACTTTTTAGTCCATTACTTTACTGCAATGGTATCAGTGAAACAGCGTTTTCATTGAAACAATTCTGCCCCACCTGCGCAACTCTTTCCAGCTGTTCTTGTCTTTACTCTTAATAATTAAAAGCATGAAGAATTTCCCTAAAATCTCTCTGGAGAGGTGAAAGATGAAATTCAATATTAAAATGCCATATGAATCTTATGTTTTCAGTTGTTTCTCTCGTACAATTCAGAGAAAAGGATTTTTAAAACTCAAAATTATCCATTTTTTAAGGTAATATTGTAAAGAACATAGTATTATGTCCCCCAGATGATGCTAGTTTTCAATGGACTAAATAGGAGAACATAAATCGCTTAAATGGTAAATCTAAACCCACTTAGATTATTAAATGAATGTGAAATTTTGTGATCATGATGCTAGTTACATCACCATTATCCGTACATAGCATTGGTATTCAATGATTAGCAATGAATTCAATTGGTTAGCAATGATGATCAACATGCTAACAAATTAAAGCAGTTTGTAAGATTTATATAACCCAAATATGAAACCAGAAAGAAGTTTAGGGGAAGGGAACTAAGTACATACTTATAGAGATATGACTAAACATATGTCACATTTATAGTATTATTGCCTAATGAGACCCAAAACCTTGGATGCTGAAACTTTACTTATAATGAATTTCTAAATATTTGTAAAAAATTTGATTTTGAATTCAATTTTGCTTTCAAAATTGACAAGGTCATTTAATGTATATCTTATTAACAAACCATGCGGACATTAAATATTGTTAAACTCAATTTACATTGTTAAAGACAAACAAAAAGACAAAGAAAAAATGTTGATATTATTTATTGACAAAAGTTGACTAACACTTTTTGAAAATTTTGAATAGGTTTTGTTTGATGTATCCCCCAAAATGAAAAGATTCCATTTCAACTTGATGATCAATGTTCAGAAATTGGAAGAAATCCAAATTCTTTGACCAGTTTACTAGATACATTTCAAACTGGTAGAGAAAAAGGAAAAAATAAACAAAGCATACCCCCTTCTATCAAATACAATTAATCATGATGCCTTAATTGAGTAAACAATGTCAATAATGCATTACCTGAAGAAGGCCAATACTTAAAGTACACTGTATTCTTTTTTGTAATCATGTTAATTAATAAATACAGCTGATCAAAGTAATTTAATGATATAGTACAATAATGTTTTCATTTGAAACCAGAAGTTACGAGTTTCACTGTAGATGTCACTGCAACAGCGGTAAGTACACTTTACTAGTTTGATGTTCTCTTTAAAAAGACCACCCCTCTAAAAGACCAATTTGATAGTATTAATCATATGGTCAGGTTTTACAGTATTATAAAGCACTCTTCAGTATTTTCAGAATTAGTAATTACTATTAAATAAACGTAACATCATGTAACTCTAAATAAATGAAGCAATTTGAACTAAAATCATATTTTCAATTCATTTAAATATTATGTTGTTAAAAGACATCCTAGAATATGAAACTGAAATGTTGTGGATTATATTTTTATCACTAATTGTTTAAATGGAGTTTATTCAATTTTCATTCTGAAAAACATTAAAACAATGTAAATTGTTCCAGATGCTTTGGTATTTGGATCAATGCTCACTTACATTGCTGGCATGTTGCTGATGATGTCATTTGCCAGGTAGCTACTAATTTTAACATACATAAATGTTCAACATCAACGGTAAAATGACATTCTAATGTGTGTTCTTCTTCTAGTCCATATTGGATCCAGTCATATCAAGAAACTTTTTCAAATTTTAAACATATGGGTTTATGGGAGTATTGTTTTGACCAATTTCGATTCCCAGCATATCAGTTTGACAAGACATTTGATGGCTGTCACTACATTTTTAGTGAAGAATATTATGTTATACGAGAATGGCTATTACCAGGTTAGTTTTCAAAATCTGAGAATTCTTTTTAATGAGCTGTTTCACTTTCAAATCCAAAAGTTTATTGTTTAGTACTTTTTTAATTGGAATTTGTTAAAATATTTTTGTAAAATTTCATGAATCTGAATTTTTTCTTTTACAGCATAAAGAATTTATTTGGGTGTTGCATGAACAGATTGCTTTTATTTACTATGATTATATCAGTTTATTAGTTTAGTAATTATTTCTTTTTTATTAAAATATTACTGTTAATTAAATGACTTGTGGTTTGGTTATCTGTGAAGGAAGTATTCAGATTAATGTAATTAAATTTCACAGAATTTGATTTGATTTTTGCCTGAAACCAGATTTAAAAATAAATAGTTATAACTTACTGACTTTTTGTTAAAGAATGTACGTAATTGTAACAAATGTTGATACAATATGCAAACTACAAGCAAATGTAATAAATATTATATATATTGAAATACTGTTATTTGGGTGATTGCCTGTTATGTAAAATAAAATATATGTAGTTACACTATTCTGCTGCGTTGATCTATCTTTGTTATAACTATCATGGTAGGATCAATTTAATTGCTGGTTTTATCAATATCTGGCATATTACTCTCCACAAATTTTTGTTATTAAATCTCTAAAACTAAGATTCAACATTCTCGTTTACTTGTTCTTTTGGTATTATATCAGTTATAAATGCCAGCTTATTTCGTGAGTTCGAAAAATAGAAAGGGCTACAGGTCATGTCAATACTTTTTTAAACACTTTCTATATTAGGAATGTATTTACATTTCAAAAATGCATTAAGAAGTCTGATCATTAAAATCATAGATATTATATCACAGCCATTAAAAAATACTACATTTTCAACTCTGATGTAAGTTCAGTTTGTGTACATACGTACATTGCAAACTAAACCTTTTGTGCTAATATGGCAATGACTCTTTATATTTGTCTATTCTATGGACAGAGTTTTACAAGTTTCTTATAGTCTCTTCTAATATTCCCATTTTAATGTGTATTTTTTTAATTTGTTTTAAAGGTTGGCTGATGGCAGTACAGGCCTTTGTCACCTTGGCTCTGATGCTCTCTTTTGCATCCCAAATAGCTTTGGCATTAGTACTAATTCGTTGGCCTCTACGACCAGTACTTCTGTATCAGTGGTTTATTGCTGGTGTGTGTGCTATTGCAACAGTATGTGCTGCTGCTCTTTTATTTTTGTCTGTGGCCATTTTTGGAGGAGAATGCTGGCGACGTGACTGGCTAATGTATCCAAATTATAATTATTTGAGTTGGTCATATGGACTTGCAGTTATTTCATTTTTCTTCCATTTATTTGCATCTGGCTTACTTTATTTGGTAAGTAGTTGTAGTTGCTGCTTCTTTCTAAAATATTCATTAAGAAGTCATTCATTTGATTTTCAAATAGAAGTATACATTGAAGTGTTGAATAAAATTATTGAGTATGTAGCTTTTATAGAAGTTCACCAATGCTTTTTACTTTCTTGGTTGCTCTGTTAGTGTTAAACTTAGCTGTGAAAATATTTTGAACGACAACCTTTTCTGACCACCAAGACAATTTGTTTAAAAGGATGCATAGTGAGGTGTCAAATTAGCACTTCTGCTTCTGACACAATGCTGACTCTTCTCATCAAAGGTGGTCAATAACCAGAAGCCACTCTGAAGAGTAAATAATCTACGATATGACATGCTTCTAAACCAAGAATATTGTAATACCATTGGCACAAATTTATTTAATGCACTTTCTATGACCAATGTTAGAACTGTCTGTCACTAATTTTATGATAAAATGAAAAATTTTGCCAACTAGTAGCTTTTGTATGTTAGATAATTACTTTTAATATCTTTCTTGTTTTGCATTTACTAACAAACATTGCGGCCCCATAGCTATGTAGCAGAAGCATGTCAGATCCAGATCACACATGTTTTAAATGATGTTTGACTGTTTGAAGTATTGACTGCCCCAGCCCGAAATTGAACCTGGATTTCATAATCATCAAATATAATTTGAAACATAACCGTCACACATAATTTGAAAAATTACAAATTGTTTATTGTTGTGTGAAAGTTTACACTGTTACTTTCATGGTCAATTATTAAAGTCTAAATTAATGATCAGTAATGATTGGATGATTAGTAATTAGGTCAAGGAGAACAATGGTTAACATCAGTTTTAGCCATCTAAAACCCTAACATTACTTAATATGTCCTAATTACAATTAACTTCCCCCCAGTTCAGATTCATGATAACAAGGTTTGTACCAGATAATAATAGTTTCTCAAAGAGAGCTGTGGAATAGCTTAAATTTATTTAGTCAAAACATAATCATGTTATATAATTTGTCTATCTCGGCTTATTCATGTTTATTCCTTTTGCAATGAACTCATTAACATGATAGGAATATTTGAATGCAAACCAATTACAAGATTACCAAATTAATTGCATGTGACCTTTAAGATTACCTGACCATTGCACTGATATTGAAAATAAAACGATTAATTTTCATATTTTGTCATTGGGATCTTCGCTTTGTTTCAGGATGCACGCAAAGGTTGGGAATTGCGTCAGGAGAGTAAAAATCTGGTGATGCAGATGTACCCACGCCCTGATTCTCGTAATAATGGATATGTATAAATCATATTATGAGAGACTGTAAGAATGTGAATCTCTTTAACATTTATTAAATGTTGCTTATTATGAAACTGGGCAAAATGTATACACTTGAGGCCTAGTAGTGTTTCATCTATTATTGAAGTTACATTGCATTTTACATATTTTATATAATTCCGTCCATTTTTTAAGTATTAAGCGAACGCACTCTTTTGTATTATTTGGAAAATATATTCAATTAAATTCTTTTATCTGGGTTATATTTTCACACCTTTATCACAAGTTGTTTTTGAATTTATTATTTTTCCCCTTGTAATTTGTTTGTGGCATTGAAAAAAAAAAGAGACATTTCTATTTTCTTAATTCAATTATGAACTTTCAGAATTTAAGGAGTACAGATCAGTGAAATTGTTTGAGATTAGAGCAAAATACAATTACAACAATGACTAACACGATTCAGACTGCATTTGCTCATTTTTCCAAACTAGTATTAAAAATTTAGTGAGTGGACTCAAATCACACTAGTGTGGTAACTTAAAGATTGGCTTTAAATGAACTAAATATAAAATATATTTATGCAGTAAAATCTTCAAAAAATACATACTGATGAAAAACAGTAATGATGGTTTAATATAGGTATTTTATAATTTTTCTGCAAAGTACGTTAATCTTGAACTTAACTCTTACTGTACTTCTCAATAGATAGATTGATTGATCAGTGATTCTGGGCACGTAACCTACTAAGTTCATTATTCCTGTAAATGTAATGTATGTTCTATTGTGGGAGGAAGCAGTGACCTTTCCCCGCTGGATGGCAATAACCTACCCTATCTGTTGGCTTGCGGGGTTCGCCCAACTAGGTATCTCCCATTAGTGGGGCTACTGGGTTAAGTTCTAAGCTCCCACCTGGTGTCCTGGAATATGTGGTATTACTCGCGCAACATTTCTTGAACGATGGATTGAAGAAATGCGGGTAAAGTGGGGGTAGATTTTATGAAGCAATGCCAATCTGGAGAATCAGTCATGCCTTCACAACATTCTCAATAATTTGCGTTCTAACATTTTCAAGAGTTCGAGGTATTTCCTATAATGGATCTTCACCTTCTTAGGTCATTTCTTTAGGTCTTTTGGAGAAAATCACGGACAGAAGTTCTCGCCTTCAACAGGAAATTGTTACTATTTTGCGCCAGTGAAGATGTGTTTTTAATGTTGTCATCAGTGCTCCCTGCGAGGTTTTGCCTTCAACTGTGTGCCAGAGTGGGGGACGCAAGGTAATCATTCAAGAAAAGTCTCACAATTAATAGTGCGGTGCATGTGAAAGTAAGGGGTAAGGATAGATGGAAGAGGAAGGAAAAATCTTGCATGATCCATAGCCCATTTGTCAGGGTACTGCTCTGGTATTTGCCTGGTGTTGATCAGTACACCCAGCCCATAGAGTTCTCCTCCAGACAGTTGCTGAATTTCACCTAGCTATAAAGTAAGAGTCGAAAATCCTGCCACCATGAGGACTTGGAACCTAGAACCTCCCAGTCAGATGAACTGTAGTGACATCAATAGCTCAATACTGTCAATAAGCAGCATCGATAGCTGAGTCACCTAAGCCTGTACTGCTCAACGGAATTTCAAAGAGAAGCATTAGTTTCCACATTGGGAGGACTTAATACATTTAACAATTACTAGCATTGTAACCACTTTTGAGTGCAATTACGAGAAACCCTTAGTAGCCTCAAACCATGAAAACGGAAGCTAATTTCTTTATCATACCCTATTTCTTTTGCATTTATGAGGTAAGCTTTCTATGTAACTTGAGGAGTTCAAATCACAAAAGTTAATTTATCAACATTACCAACTTTCAAGATGGCATCATTGTGATTATCCTTTTAAATATCAAACATAATTCAGATACAGAAAATTGATATCAGCTACAATGAACCACAAGTAAAAACCACATGACAAAATTAAAAATTAAATTTCTTGAAATAAATACAAATAATGATAAATGCTTTATAGCAAAATCTGCACATTGCAATTAAAAAAATTAGCGAAATATACATCATTAACCCAAATTTAAATAATTGAGTATTTGATGCACCTACCAGTTAAGATACTATAAGGGAAAAATATGTATTTGCATTGAAATACAGTGACAACCCTGCCATATAATAATCATCCACCAACTCAACCATCTGTTTGATTATCTTTCTACATCCAAAACCTTTTCTTGGTATTAGATGGTGATGAACTGTGACACCCCAAAGGATCCAACTTTGGGGGTTTCATAATTTTTCTTTTATTACACTCTAAAGTACCGTACATTACTTACTATCATGATTGTATGATAAATTCAATGGTTTTTGGGTAAAGGGAGTTATGTCTTTGTTTGTGGAGGAGTTTTTTCATTTAGTGACTTACACATGCAACATTATAACCTACTTTACTAACACAATTTAAATCAAATTATTAAAATATTTTTGAAATATTCCCTGCTTTACAATGGTCCCACAAACTTTTGTTTCTACCCTACTGAAAACTCACTTTAATTATTTAACCTGGCAGAGCCAGTGTTGAATTTCCAAACATAACGCACTGGGTCTGAGAGACTTGGGGAGAATTTTATTTCTAGGTGAAACTATGGGAATATATATTTGAAATAATGCACATCATTTACCTATAAAGTAGTTGGAGTAAATTTATTACATTAAAATACGGAGAAAGTAAATATAAGTTGAAGATAATTTCAGTGCTCACGGGAATGTCTAAAATTACTAATGCCGTATGCATAAGGGGAAGGCAAAGGGGTGTCAATTAAAATATTGTGTTTTATGCGGCAAAAATCCCTTTTCATGACTCGACAGGATACCCAGTACTCAGGTAAAATCCTTTATTGTTCTGTGGGTAAAATCTCCAGTCTCGCCATAAAAAGATAGACTTTTTTTACTTTCCCGTATACGTACGTATTTGCGGCAGAAAAAATCATTACCGGGCCCTGATAAACTAGTTGTGTTACTGAATGGCACAGTATTGTTTTTTTTTATTTCCTTTGGTCTCGGTTAGTTCATTTCGAAGCTTTGAAATTTTCAAAAACATTCCTTAAAATTTGGGGTATTTCACATAAAGCCCTATGCACATTTTCAAAATTTATCAAAAACGGCTCCAATTTTTTCTTTTAAGTTTTGGTACGGATAATGCTAAATGTATTCTATGAGATAACATACCATATTGCTCTATTGTGACCGTCCCATCGTGCCTCTGTATTAGAATAATTTCTTTACATCTATTACGTGTTTACCTGAGACACAAACTCTAACAAATTTTAAAATAATATTATTTTTGGCACGGGCGGCCACTGAAAAATTTATATTGGGTCATGGGACTGAAGTTCCCTCCTGTGCAGGGTAGGGAAAAATGATATTTCTCATTATCTTATTGGTAATGGAGGGGAAATTATCTTTCTTAATCTAAAGCCAAAAGAAACAGACATTTTCAACTGTATATTCAGTACCGTGTTAGGTGATACTGTTGTTTATTTGGCAATGTTAATCGATGCTATTTTCCTTTGTGACGCTACCAATAAAATCATCACACACACACACACACAAAAAAAACAACCTTCTATACAATACAAAATCTAAATTTAACATTCATGCTTAACAACAAAATATTTACACTATTCTCATTCATACCGTGCATATTATAATTTTGATGGCAATGTACATTGTTTAAGCTTTCCTAGATCTACTACAATACTTCGCCTTCCTATAAATTTATTCCGTACACGCGGGTAATATTTTCAGAATGTTCACTTCCCTGACTGCAATAGCGTTACCATCGGCTCACAAATCCGTTCTCTTCTCTCTGGTAACAATTCACTCTCCCAAAAACACAATAACTTGCCAGCACAGGTTAGCAAATGTCGGCTCGGAATCTATCACCCATCTGTGTCCTTTCCAGACCCAGACAGTCCAGTCTTTCGATTGTTTTTCAATAAAAAAACAAAAACCGCTCGCAAGAAAGCAAAAACCGTGATCTTTTGGAACATTTTAAATTTTCTTTACCTCTATTCTGATTTGGCACTTTTCAGAGGATCTGAAAATTTTGCCTTCTAATTCGCCGTGTTCCCCAAAGTTCATTGCCCTCTGGTTCATCTGCTTTGCCGAAATTCCAACTTATTTCGAAAGGTACTACCTACCTATACTCAATTTAGATTTATTCAGTCAAAAAAATCAGTAAAAACTGTATGTGACGTAGGGGGGAAAAGATTATCTGCACGTTTTTCTGATTTCCAGAATCCCTTCCCTTCATTTTAACTACAAATAGTTGAAAGATGAGTAAAAGTTTAACATAAGTAAAAATAAATTTTAAAAATAGC